GCAGTTATTAAGATTGAGAGCCAAGGCCTATGGGTTGTCAAGTTATCTATCGAAAACTGAGATTCTAGGTAACTTTGATCTTCGAGCCCCTTACCCCCTCCTCTAAAAACACAAAGTTAATTAACTGCCCTAGACCAATACTTCTATTATGTTGAAGCGAAGGTGCATGGGTTGACAATTTATTTTACGGACACAGTTTTGGCATTCAAGGTGAATGTGACTTGACCTTCGAGCCCCTGACTACTAAAATCAATAGAGGTTGTCCACTTCAAAAGATCATTGCACTAGCGGAGATTTAAGGACAAGGGCCCATTGAGTATTATTGGTCCGAAACCGTTTTGACATAGGCTCTGACACCTTTATCGATGTTTTGAAAAAAAAACAATGTTTCTTTGAAATTTGAGGGCTGAAGGCATATTGAATATTAAGTTATTGGTCTAAACCCCGTTTTGACATACAAGGTCAATATGATCTTCACCATCGAGCCCTTCGCCTCCTTTTCGTCCTCTACAAAAAGACCAATGCACCTATCAAGTTGTTTTCAAGTTATCGATCGGAGAAATGTTTGATTTAGGAATCAACAGACAGACTAAGCGACATCATGCTGCAAAACCATTACGCCCTCTTATTTCAAGGGGACATACAAATAATAAATTGATAAACAGAGGCCAGGTTCAGGTTTGTGTGATCATTACTATGCAGAAATGACTCATTTAGTCTGATCAGGAGCTTTACTGTTCATGTTCCATTAGTAACTTTATATTTTTGAACTAGATATCCTTAAAATTGAAAAAAAAAAACTTATAACTTTCTTCGGGTTTAACAACATTTTGCAGGTGCAAAGTCATGCATAGTATACTAATTTACTTTAACAGTATGGGAATAGTGAATGAAACTATTATTTCAGGTTTTTTCTGTGTTCGGTTCATAGAGTTTTACGTCGCATCGACACATTATAGGTCATATGGCGATGTTCCAGCTTTACTGGTGGAGGGAGAGGTCAGGTGCCCTTCGTGCATTATTACTTCATGTTTTACCAGAGAAAATACTTAAACATCAGAAATCGGAAAACATTATTTGCCATACGTAGTTGAAAGTCAAGGAGTAAAATGAAACCGAGATTTAACGGTATTTCTGTTGAAAAGTCTATAGTATACATGTTGCTAGTGAGTCAAGAGTAAGTCTACGGACAGTACATATGTGAGCAGGACGATCCGAGAAACTAAGACAAATCTAATTGTCCCCTTGCCCTTAATTGGCTGACTAAATTAATAAAGAAAATGATAATGGACTTTTTAAATAAAATATAGGATAAGTCAATATAAGAAAAGTTCAGCAAGTAAAGGGCTGATATGTCGATCCTCTAAGGGTTTCGAAAAAACCAAACTTTGTTTAAACTTAAACACTTGTAATGGAATAAACATTTATTTCAAAAGATAAAGAGAAAATTAAAAAAAGATGTGGTCAAATTTTATTGTTGTATCAATAAACAGAAATTAGTATAGATACAGTTGTTAAAAATGAATTGAACATGAAGAAAATCTTTTTAAATAGTCAAAGAAACGTAATAGTATGAATATATAAAACAGTTAAACTTTATACAGACTCACTCACTCTTATATACAATAAACACATTGACATTTTAATTCTCAAAGATTAAAAGCAAAATTATTTAAAGAGGTATACATTTTTTACATGAAATTTTAACAAACACTGAAAATATTCACTTACAGTAACAGAAATAGAATTAAAAGAAAGACTTTATGTCAGTTCAAATACTGTATTCCTACTAAACCAATGTACCACACATAATATCCTAATTGACTTGACCATCTTTCAACGTTTCCTAACCATAATTTTGCAGTGAAAATTAGGTGAATTTGCTAACTGAATAGCAAAGATTGCAGACCACAATCAGATGACACGGATGTACCAGCCTTAAAATATTGGTAAAAATGTGTTGCTTACGGCAGACAAAGGGTAAAGATTATATAATGATGACAAATGTACAAGTTCATTAATAAATTGTTAGTTATTTTTTTCTGATCACAATAAAAGAAGTTCATGTACATACAGAATCAACATATCCATGGCAACAGTTAGCCATTAAATAATCTCTATATATCCATTGACATATTCAATCTACATCAGAATTTTGAAATGAAAAAATCTTAAAGGACACGGATTGATTGTATGACAAAAAATATTTATCATGTTTCTTCAAAACGTAAAAATACCAGTGTCTTAAGCAAACAAAGTAATCTCCTTTAATTTCTTTTACAGAAACTACTATAACCATAATTTGATAATATTAAAATAGTTTTTTTCTATAAAAAGGATAGGTGTAGATATTACATGAGGTTTACAAAGTTTTCAAGGTTTACATTGCAATCTCAACATAACTTAAGTATAAACAAATCAGGTTATGTGCTGTGGTGAAAATATGTTGTTTTTTCTTTTGTTTCTTTTTTTGCTTCAAATGAAAAAAAAATCTTTAAATGTTTGATACATTCATCATTACGTACTGATACAGGATATATTTTTTCATCACTCATTTTACATTACTTTTTACACAAAAAGTAAAATGTCTCCAATTTACAAGTATTATATATCAAATGCATCTAATTTTTTCAAAATCTATTGCCTTTTCTGAAATGTAATGTCATATATATACAAATCCATCTTGTAACAAACTAGATCTACATGTACTTTCTTACTCAATAATTTATGGCTGTGACTAAAAAAAGGATTGGAGCACCACACTAAATACCGTATTCCGGTATTTACCGGACAAGGCGCTTGAATGATAAAATGCTAAAATCTTGTCTTTTTACCCAACGGAATGAACTTTTACAGGTTTAATTCATCTTTTCACACCGAATCAAGTACGATAATCAAGGAAAAAGGTAAAATTCGGCGAAAAAAACGATATTTGTCTATTTTGTGATCATGATTTCTGCAAGCGTCTAGAGGTACTGCTCCAATCCTGTATTGAGCTAAATCCATAATTTATTTACAAAACCTTTACAAAACTTTACAGCACAATTGAAAAAAGTTATATTTTACAAAACCTTTACAAAACTTTACTGCACAATTGAAAAAAGTTATATTTTATTTTTCAGTTATAGAGGCATGGATTTTTATAAATAAAATTGCTAGTAAATAGGGTCTCAGAAACATTTAAACCATATTTTGACTTTTCCTTAAATACTTGACACCAAAAGCACAATTATACATGTATATCAACATTCATTAATTGCAAATAAAAGAACCTTTCTAGATTGTTTTCACAATAAGATTGTTTACACATTTATCATATAAAAATAAAGAATAAAATGAAATCATGGTGACAAGATCTGACAAAACACATGAAAGAACAATTAAACCGAAAAAATACATATTCAAGACGAATTTCATTTCTTTCACAAATAATAACTACATGTCTAAATATAGATTGTTTTGACTACATATCTAAATATAGATTGTTTTGACTACATGTCTCAATATGGATTGTTTTGATGGGTTTATGATGTTTTTGACAATTGCAACTTAGGAAAAAAAAATTCTCGAAATGAAATAAATCATTTTATGCATTGAACACGCGATAACAGCAACATCAATTGCAATTTGCCTTTAGTTAGATTAACCTTCAATTTTTAATGGATAGTCATGCAGAGTTTTTATAGGCTAAGTTTAAAAATAAGCATCCTCTATGCATGACCTAAATTTAGAATGATTAATTTATGAGTCAGATCTGGAAATGCTGATAAATGGATCTTTGTACATTGTTACTGCACAAGTAATAAATATGAAGAAGAAAAAAATATAACAGTGGTCCGAAATTGTCCATCATTCCAGTGACTGTGAAAGTACTGTTCTGTTCTTGACTTCCCCGAAATTGTTGTCAAGGCATCTGATCAGATACTGATGAAATTTGGTACACTCTCAGGTTCGAGAACTGTGTATTGTTGGTTACAGGTCTTGTTTCTCTTTTGATCATCTAACTGCGTTCTGACCGAAATCTAAAAAAATGAAAACATGATATTTCAACATTAAAAAATATGTTGCTGCTTTCTGAGCAAGTTTAAATGTTATCCTCTTGAATTTCAAAAATGGACTTGTCCATTTAGTATCTTCGGAACAGTCCATTATCAAATTTAGATGTCAAGATTTGTTGAATGTACAACAGCTTTCAACATTATTTTCTACTGATGAAAAACTGTTCACTTTAATATCAAGCATTTTATTTCTTAATGAACCATTGTCTTTTTCTTGACAATCTAACATTCATTTTTCAACAATGATTATTAATATGGTATTTAAATATGATACATGTACATATTTTTTGCATTGCATGATTAATAACATTGAAATAAAAGTAACGATAAGTAAAACTGACTTTATTATATTCAAATAAGAAACACATATTTTTTTTTAACTCTGGTTAAAAATGAAGTAAATTAGCAAATACATGTATTATTTATTCTCAACTTAATAGTGAAATGCTACATTTGGACAAATCTTTATAAAAGGGAATCTACTGTTAATAGGCCAAAATTAATTGAATTACTATATGACTGATATGCACAGAACGCTTGCTTTAGACAATTTTTACTATATCAACCTTTAACATAATGGATTTGCCCAGCGGTAAATTTGGCACATCAATTCAAAGGTTAAGGGATTTCAATATCAAAATATAAAAATTAAGCTACAAACATCAAAACCAAAACTAAAACAAGGGAAATCTTATATGCAAAACCAGGATTTTTCAAATACAGAAAGGGGTTTAAGGCAGTTGAAATCATTCTTGGAAGTATGCATCTTTGCTAGTAATCAGCAAATATCAGGTATGATTACAAAGACACTTAAAGTTTCTAGTGAATACCTTCCAACAATAATGACATAAAATATTCATAAATAAAGTACCATCAGGTAGAGAAGAATAGTCATGCCATTACATGAACAATTTAGCTTATGACACAGTTAAACTCACTCGTCTACCACTTTCTGGCCTCTGTTTCAAAAATGCACTGAACTTCAAAGTCTCCAAGACTTCTAGTTCCCCGTTGGCTAAGGATTTTGGTAACAATCATCATATCCATGGTCGTCGGCTTGTCTGGCAACATTTTCAAAATATGATTCTCCTCAAGTGGAGTCTGAAAAATTTCAAAAAATAAAATTAGTCTAATTTAGGTCAAACAAATAACAAAGTCTTTCAGGGGAAAAAATTAAAAAAAAATACTCTCTAAGGAAAAATACTAATTTATAAATGAATATACAGGATTGTTTAACATTCCTGTTTTGACATTAGATTTTGTCAGCTTGTCAGTGAGTCCTTTTGTTTTTAAATGGTATGTACATTTTCACATAGCAAATCAGAAATGTCAAGTCTAAAAATTGCAGCATAAATATATAATTAAACACTGTACAAATGCATTCTTATAGATGCGTCTTCTGTCAATTTGACGCCACATTACAAACTGCTTGTCTCATTATATGCATGCCCGATCATCAGCTTATGTTTTCAAGGTATCCTGATCAGTTTTGTATCATTAGGAAATTTTTGTTACATCAATGATTCATTTTTCATTAAATAATACCAAAATGCAAGAAGCAGGCAAACTAGTTGAATTTAATATCCGTGCCTTTTTATAGGGAAACTTATATGTTTTCCTTCTAACTTTGTGTTTGATTAAAACCAAATCGCAAATTGTGAATATGTTCCAATGATTGACATTTATAATAATAAAGTTAGGCTAACCTTATCTTTTGGGGGCGTTCCTGTCAACAATGCTGGGTAGTTTGGCGGGAATGCGTACTCGTCATATTTTGGGAAGTTTGTTGAGGCGTGTGACACACTGCATGTAAATATGATTGATGTAAGAACTGTGTAAAGTTGGTCTTTTGATATAAAGTTGACATTCACTGTGTTACCTTGTAAATATAAAAATATTATCATAAATACGACTTTTGTATTGACCTTTGTTTTACGATTATTTTATCAGTACCTGTAATTATGCCCAAAAAGACACAATAATTTAAGTGTTTAATAGAACTTGCAGCTATAAGAAATAAAAATAAAATGCAAAAGTCATTCATGAGAGGTATGATTCTGTTACAATTTTTGACAATTATGTGCCTTGGTCAGTGACCACTTTTGGAGTTTAAAAGTAATTTATTAAATATGGAATGGAAAATTAGATTCCACTTTATAATTATTCAAACACTTCACAAAGTTGATACACAGGCAGTAACAGTAGCCACAGTAAATCTTAAAAAATGAATTAACAACCATTGTTATTGGAGTTTAACAATGACACATCCGAATTGTTTTGTTTTTGTTTGGTTTTTTTTTTGTTCTGAAAAAAAGTAGAGAGTAAATGTCCATTGACCTACCAGAATTTCGCAGCCCAGCCACCTTTTTCTCTTTATTTAACAAGCTCAGCTCCTCGGCCTTGCAACAAACACCAGTCATCTTTTCTACAGTATCTGAAATAAATCATAGAAAAATGTAAGATGATAAGAACAAGGACTGTTCATACCATGTGACTTTTAGGTACAATTATTTGCAACATCTTAAACTAGGGAAACAGTTGTCTGGAAGCTAAATCAAAAGAATATCACATTCGTTATTAAAATGACATAAGATATTAATTAACTTTACGAAAGAACAAGCATTCTAAATGCTCGCATTCTGGCATTTTTCTTGAAACTATTCATAGAATCTCATATCACATGACACGTTTTATGACATTCTATCTTTGATAAGAGTTATTGCCCTTACCATAGTATAAGTCTACATATTTCTTCACATAAGAGTTAATGGCATTGTATAACAAGAGTGCATCGTCACGGAAATGGTTACCCGGCAACACTAAATACAATAAAGACATCTGCACAAAAGTATAGTGTGCATTATGCTCTAAAGCTCGAACTTCATGATATATCGTTAGATACCTAATGGTTAAGGTAGCTGCCTCGCAACTTAGTAACTGAGTTTAAGCTATTATCATGTACTCGGGTCACGACCAAGATTTCTCATATGACACCATTACTGGCTTGCTGCAGGAAGTCCGGGCATGATCATTATCAATATAATTTACATAAACTTGTTTCACGATCACGCTTAAATATATATACATGTGTATGTTTAAACTAAAAGATTAAATAATAAAGTCATCATATTATGATTTTTATTACAATCATATGCAATAAAGTAATATTATGACCATAAATGTGTACATGATAAGAAAACAAGTAAAAATTAAAAAAACTTGACAGTATGCCATTATTGTTTTCAATTTTAAACCTACAGTGTGTTTAATGATATGTGATACACTTTTAATCAAATGTTTCGTTTATGTTAGAATGTCAGTAATAAAGAAAGATGTACCATATTAAAGGGAAATGCTATCAATATATAAAAGTCCATTTCTTTCCTTATTAAACCCACCAATAATATTTTTAGCTACGCTTGAAAACAGGGCCCGTTTATAGCATATACTCAAAATGACGTCCATTATGGTGTCGCACCATCTCCACACCTTTCATGAAGTTTGCATCACATTATTGCACATGTCACCATATCAAATAAAAAATCAATAATCTGCATGATCGACGGGAATTTCCATACATTTTTCAGAAATGACGTTAAATTAACAGTTGAAAAAGAGAGTGGCAGTTTTTTTGTAGTTGTTTTTTTTTTTTTTCAATTAAGGTTGTTGTTTTGTATTTGTATAGTAACATTTTTTAATATCAATTATTGGTCAGTCATAAAAAGTCAATTCTTTGGAATAAAACACAATTCAACTTCATTTGACAGCAAAAAATGAGTAAATGTCACTTATACCAACCCATCGTTTTTTTAAGATCCTCTGGCATAGTTCCTTCAACATCCATTCGCCAAGAATCAAGCTTACAAAAGATGTAGAAGTGTCATTCAATTAAATGCAATAATAATCTTGAAAATAAACATACTTTGACATAATTACAAAAAAAATGTCTTTTAAATTTACAATAATTGATGAAAATAGTTTACAATAAATTACAAAAAAAAATGTCAGTGAACTGTAACAAATGTTTTATTTATATACTTGACAATATTAATTAAAAACAAGGTAAACATACATGTATTCACACAACTATTTAACTGTCATAAGTTACCAAAATTTTAAAATGTTTGACAAGTTTGGCTATGCTGTTTAATGACTACATTCAAAGTTTCATCCTGAACATCCATATATAGGAACTTGAAAAATCAAATACAGGTAAATAACATTCTTACAGCAGTACATGCACAATTAACTGATTTATTGTTGCATTATTATTAACCAATGATGCAAACGTTATATATCATTAAGAAAGTATAAAAAAAGTAATTATTTCACTATCAATATTTATCACATCAGGGGAGAGTATTAGAATCATATTCTGGAACCAAAATATTATCTTAATCTGAACTAATATTCACTTCTACTGAATTGTGCTACAATCCGATACTAGAACTTACTAATCTTGATCAATTCAATGGTAATTACCCTGACCAAATTGCATTCTTTTCGTTAATGTTTAAACTAAATTTGATAACTCTTCAGTTATAAAACATTAGAAGAGGTTTCAGATTACAGAACATTTACAGCTTTAACATCATTTGTTATGCATCAATTAAGCTCAAATTATTGTGATACTTACAGAATTATATTCCCCTTTATGTTGGTACAACTGGATTGCCATCAGACTGTTCATACGAACACATATGACTGAAAATATAAAAGATAAAAAACATGACTAAAATTGCAAAAAAAACAACAACAAATAATTAAACAATACACAAATGACCGAAATAGTAAAACAATGATCAAATGACTGAAATAAGAAAACAATGAACAAATGACTGAAATAATAAAACATTAAACACATGACTGAAATAAACAATGAAGACATAAATGGAAAATACATCCAACTGAAAATAATGATAAAACCAAAGAACACATGACTGAAAATATGATAAGAGCAAAGAACACTTGAACATAATTATGATATAGAATGGCTAATATACGATAATGTACTATATAAAAAATGCATCTAGAGTGAATAATCTGATAACGTTGTTTATATATTTTAACCAATAAATATTTAATAAGTTGAAGGTATTGGTGAATTAAGTAAATGCTCATAAGTCGACTTTTTAACATGTGGACAATGTAACTTTTGATTCAATCTACAAAACCATATTAGGTTAACAGGATAAACATATTTTATTGATGTCACCATTGAAAAATTAGCACTTGTGTAACTGTATAAGGTTAACAGGATAAACATATTTTACTGATGTCACTATAGAATAATCAGCACTTGTGATCAGCAATATAACAATATGTGGGAAATTTCCTTTTAAAAAAAATCAAACTACAACCCGTGATCAAAACAACAGGCTTCAAAATCACGAACTCTTTTTGGCGGTTTTCCAGCTTATCTTGAGCAGGAAAACCTCAGGTGCCCCTTTGTGAATTTGGCACAAACGTTCACCTGAGTAGAACGACCAACATTCTGTAGACTATCTTGATAACTTGCTCACATGAAATATTTCGAAGATGCTGGCATGGATGTCATCGTCAATTACTTTATTCAATTTGGCTAAACATATTCAAAGTCAAGTAATTATTAAGCGATGCAATACAAATTGCAGAAAGTTATGATACATTACAATTATGCACATTTGAACAAATGAATTCAGTAGTTGCATCGCTAAGTATAGAAATGTATTTATAGAAAGTTACCAAAATTGTTACAATTCATTATTGATATGTATTTATTCCATAATGCCATGAACAATAATATGTAGATAAACAAGTGTTACACGAGTCATTTTAACATGGAAATACATGTACTTAAAACATTTAATCCAGTTTCAATTTGTTTTATATCGCATTGTTAAATAAACGTTTAATTGTTTAAATATTTATGTCTACCATCTTTTAGCTAGTTTCAAGACAAGTACCAAACCCTTGATAATATATAGCAATGTTTTACATTATGAAAACAAATTACATGCAATAACTTTCTTGACATAAATAAAAGCAGCTTTCTAATTTACAAAAAAATAGTTTTCAGTATTTCACTGTTGAAGTTGCTGACCATTTATTCTTTGTTCAATAGTATTTAGACGCACAGTTGTAATATTATCTTTATTCAATATATTTTTATGCAAATCTTAATCTGACAACACATTTTTAACATTTTAACAGGGTATTTGATACTGGGTATTTGATAAAGTGTTGTTTGTATCTTTTAATATGTAAGAGAGAGAGAGAGGTAGAGAGGTAGAGAGAGAGAGAGAGAGAGAGAGAGAGAGAGAGAGAGAGGGAGAGGGAGAGAGAGAGGGAGAGAGAGAGAGAGAGAGAGAGAGAGAGAGAGAGAGAGAGAGAGAGAGGGGTGTTCATTCATTCTTCTTTATAAGTACTTTTAAACCAATTATGCACCAGAAATGCTTTTATATCTATTTTACAATTGTTATTTTTATTTCTGATGTCCTGTTTCAGTTTTGAAAAATGTAACTCATTGGCAACTTACATGAGTTATCTGTTGCTTGTGTTGGTTTTATGCAATAAATACATTTAATAATATAGTGATTTTAAAGTGATTTAACGTTTAATGGAAGTCATTCAGACTTTGCTTCTTTAATCTTATGATACATAAGTCGTATTCAATTTATTTTCATTAGCTGATAAGCATTTGGAATGCTTTAAAACCCCATTATTTAAACAAACGTTATTAAATTCGTGTTTTACCTTTCCAAAAAATGAAAGTTTGCTCACTTTAAGACTTAACTTGTCTGATATTTTGCAGAACTGATAATAGAAATCGTCCGAATTGACTTGCTGATGTTGTAACAAAAGAAAAACGGTAGACAACATATACAGATAATCATCCAAGTGACAAGCTAACATACCCAAATCTTTTATAGATAAACCTTTAAAGTCCAAACATGCCTAACAAATGATTTAATTTTTATTTTTCAAAAACTTATTTGTATCTTGGTACAGTTTCATAACAAATACCCATGTTTTATGGATGAATATTCTTTTCACATTTTGCCTTGTTGACGATTTATATAATTATAGTGAATAAGAATTTTGTTTGGAATTCAAAAATACTTCTTTAGTTTTTACTACACATTATTGGACTTCAGTGCTACTTTCCTCAGCTGTTAAACATCAAACAGAATTTAAATCTAGTTTTAAAACATTATTTAACACACGTTTGACATTTCTAAAGAATTTAATAATTATGGACTTCTGAGACATAATGTGTCTTTTATATAACTGGTAATACGCTCCCTTCGCATCTTACTGAATACACCCCCGTTACTTCAGACCCGTAAATAATATATTATTGCAAATTTACCATTTTGGTGGCTTTATTAGGTCATTTGATAGAAAGGTTTAATACAAAACAATTTTAAGTAAAGTACAAATGAACACGCATTGTTTACATTACGATGCGTCAAATTCAGGCATGTGACAATTCGTTACAAGTAAGCTAGTCACTGATTGGCTGAAGTGTAGACACGGATTTTCCTGTCTGAAAAAAAGAAAGATCGGCCTGAACCTACAATTTCAGCACAGGTAGGAAAGTGAGCGATAGTGAAACATTCGACCGATGCGCAAGAGAGTAAACTGGTAAGTGTTGGCAACTATAGGCGTGTTTGAGGAAGTTCAATATAATTTCGTCATTTTAATGTTTACCAAATTCAATATCTAGTTAATCATATAAATATATATTATTAAACTACTTAACATGTAACATAACTAGTTAGACAATCATTGTGAAAATTAAATGTTTTGCTTGCGAAAGAAATATGTCACCATACAAATATCTGATAAAAAAGTGATCCATCGGAATCATTTAAACAGCAAAATTACATGAAAATTGCAGACTCGGTTTTATTGAGTCTGTACATAAGAGATAATGAAAAAGTGCAACACCCCTCATTCCTCCTTGCACCAGCTTGAGCGATACTAATTCTAAATACTTATAAGTTCTGGGCTCAGTGATCCCGAAGGACCAGAAAAATATTTATAGAAACCTTTATTCTATTTCACATTTTAGTTCGTCTCTGATCAAATAACAATTAAATCATACCGTTGTCATCTTGCAACAAAGATTCTCATATTAATATGTCAATTGATTTCTTTTTGTTTTTCTTATCTTTTAGAAATCTGACCAACTGCGTATCTTATAAAAAAATTCATATCATTTAACTCGTGGAGTAAAAGGAGAAAATAATATAAATGTATATATGTATATAGTTTCAAAGAAAATGAATAATGAAAAGCACCTGATAATAATAAAGCTTATTATAGACTAACCAATTGGAATGATTCACACAGGAACAATAATTCCATTATGAATATACAAGAGAGTTTCTACGGCAAACTCGCATTGGCTCTTCTTTTTCATAACCAGCAGAGATGACTCTCAGAATGGAGCAGATTTATACCGTGATTGCTGCCTGTGCTATAACTAGTATAAATGGAGGTAAAGGAATTTTAAACGTTTATAAAATCACATGGTAATAGCAACTTATTAAATTAAAGATAACAGACATTATTTTTTGCTCTTCTGTAGATTTCTAGCAAGTACATGATTCTTAAGATTAGTGTAAAGTAATATCTATAATATTATACATAACGCATGCATGCGTTTAAATATATAAAATTCAATAAATCGTAAAAATATATAATAAAGTTATTTATAATGCTTTTCCGTAAGTTAATGAAATATTAATTGCTCATTTTTCAGTACAGCTAGGAAATATTTATTAGATCTACGAACCTTTCAATAGATAGACGGAATGAAATATTTATTTTTCAATGTACTCCTTACATTTACATTATTGAAATTTTTCGTGATAAACACAGTGAATACATCCCTGGTATCGGTTTTTGCGGTGACCGAGAAAGTGTATCTAGGCGAGCCTTAGCGAGCCAATATTCACTTTCGTAGCGAACATGATAAGCCTTTTTCATCCCGACAACAACCATGCATTCTATTAATCCTGCTTTTATCTAGTTTAATCATGTTGTTGTTTAAAAAGCTTCATTTTTACTTTTTCCCCAATAAAGCAGCGTCTGCATACATGTTTTTAATAGAGATAAGTTTATCCGGCAAGGTTTATCTAGCTAATAATATAGACAATATAATAATCATAATCATGATAATTAGGAAATCAAAGAAAAATTGAAGCATCATATTTTTTATCATTGCAGATGCATATTTATATTTGATAAAGTTGTTACTTTTACTTATTAAATGTTTACAGAAGAATGCATTGACGCCCCATCATACAGTGGTACTCTGAACGTGACACTGGGTGGTTATAAATGCCAGCGCTGGGACAGTCAACAGCCTCACCAACACACAAGGGACGTTTTCAATCACTTCCCGAATGACGCATCCGTAAAAGATGCTCATAACTATTGTAGAGACGCTGATGGAAGTTGTAAGTCCACACGAACGATCATTACGTTAATTGTATCTTTTTATATAATTTTTTTAAAATTTAGAACATTTATGTTTTTACAATATAAAGTTTTCAGTATTTGTTCAGAAATGATTGTAAAATAGAAGCAAGAAAGCGGACAAAAATAACAATGTTTACTGCATTGTTGGGTCAGCATATAATGGGCACATTTTCCATAAGAATTTCGAATCGTAATACATAAAATATGTAAATGTATCGTCTGGATATTCTACTAAAATATTGGTTTATAAAAGAGTTCTCAGTAATTTAGTATAAGCATTTATATGATAATTAATGATACGACTATGAAAATTGTTTGGCGGCATCAAGTGGTTTATGAAAGAAGTTAATGTATCATCATGTACATTTTGAATGGCGGGAAGAGGGTGTGTGTGACTTAATTAAGAGAACGATTGGGACAAACACAATTACAAAGAAGAGATAAGAGATTTCATTAAGACACAAACATAAGTCTATAGCCATAAACAATAATGATGTGTATACATACATATAAACATATTAACAAACGCATAAAACATCTAAATACGAGAAAAGTAATATTACATATATAATATCACTGTTATGAAATAAATATAAGGACTATAATAATTAGTGTTTGAAATTAGTTGGAATAAAATACCAGTTGTTTATTAAGCTAAAGTTGCATAGTAATAAATCTAGATACTATTTTATAACAATCTGTTGTGAGTTATTCATTAACATTTTAAATTTGTGTACATTTGGCCAACGGCAGTAGTATTTGGGTAAATATTGTCTTCATTCGGACAAGCAAGTAAAAAAATGATATTCCGTTTCCGCTACATTCATATTGCATTTTAAACAAAAGCGTTGATTTCTTTCAATATTTCTAAATCTTCCTTCTACAATCATAAATTTATCAGCAGAACATCTAAAACGTGAAAGGGCTTTTCTAAATTTACTATTTATAATACAAGCCACGTACTTTTCCCTTCCAAATGTGCTTTTAATTAAACTATACGTATCAAGTTTACTAGAATTATAAATTTCAGAAAACCATTGTTGATAATATTGATCTTATATTCGTTGGATAATAGACTTAAGAAAAACAGAATGGGGTTATCAGATAAATACGAAAAGCCTAAGTTGTAAGTGTCACGTGCCCAGGGTAGAATTATAACTAGAACTCCTGGCGTAGGTTCGTCAATTTAATTGTAATTTGTACGAAGGAAAAACATCTTAAACATAAATACATGATTATAATACAAGTTTATTAAACATACATAAAATAAAAATAAATAACTTTATAATAAGATATTTCCATAAATTCGTTCAGCTTATCTAATAGAATTGATATATTAAGGAGACTTGGTATATCTATACTCGTAAGAGGATAAAGATAAAGTCAAAGTGAACTGAAGAAGGAAAGTTCATGGTAATTTGGAAGAAAGGAAATGTTAAAAACCAATGTAAAACTTTCACTCAAATCTCTTTCATACAACGTACAACACGATTGGACCAACCAAAACGGTAAACCACCTAGCACGAGATACAGACATAGTTGAATTGTTTCGGCCGCTTCCATGAATTTCCGCAAAAGATCGTACGTTACGAACCCATCCGATACAATACAATACAATTACGATAATAAACACCACGGAGTTAAACGATAATCGACGTGCGCGGACAATAAGAGTTCTTTTCCCGCGACTAAATGACGAACAGTGCACGCCAAAATGAACAATTAACATAACAAATAAAACGACCCGTGACAGAAAAGACATTTTACATCATTGGTCTATTTATTTATAAACCGATTGTTATTATCTGTCATCATCACAAGTTTATACAAAATTGAATCTTGATTCTTAGCAATTCTAAAACCAGAACTTTACAATACTGATCTTACGTAAAACAAGAAGGGGAACCCTACCTAATTCATCATATACGGTAGTATTACATGTTTGTTGTCTAACACCTCAAAATTGCTTCATAAACTTTTTATGCACTCGCTCAATATCTGGTGAATATGAAAGCCTTATATTTTAGACCCATAGTTAAGAATAGGCATTATCATAGAATCAAACAGTTTAAAATTTTTTAACATTCAATGAAAAGTTATCAAAAAGAGAGTTGAGTGCATATAAAGCCATGAAGGCTTGCTGAGATAAACATGTTTGTGCCTGATTAAAGATACCGTTTGAGGAATTGTTACACTCAAGTATACAAAGTTTTTTTTACAATATTAAGAATTTTATTATCATAAAGAAAAAATATCATATTTATTTACATATCATTAAAACCGACTTGTCGGTCCCACTTTTGACATTATAAATGTAGTTTGTCTTATAATTTTTTTAATCCTTCTTTGTAAAGAGAACAACACAGTATCATCAGCAAACAATAAAAGAATAATTTTAATTCTTCAATAAAAAGAAAATATTTATTGCCATCGTGTAAAAGGTCATACATATCATTAATGAACAATATAAACAACAGATGAGATAATGGTTTTCCCTGTTTAATGCCTGTGTTAAAAATCGAAATATTAACTTTAATAAGGAGCCATTTACTCTTACACGTGTTTTAACATTTTCATACATGACTTTTAACATATTTACAATTCTAGAAGACGCTCCTTGTTTTACTAACATAAACCATATACCATTTCTATAAACAACACCAAAAGCTTTACGAAAATCGATAAATACACAATATAATATTTTATTTTCATTTCTTATTACTTTATTTTTAATTGACTTAAGAGCAAAAATACAGTCTTTTGTGCTTTTATCTTTACGGAAACCAAAAAAGTTCCCTAAAACGACAAATTGACGGCTAAAAGACCTAGTTGAGTTGAGAGTATTTACGAATACCTCTTTCTCAGACTTCAAAAAACCCTCTCCATATATGGAGTTACTAGGTGTTACGTACAAATAGCATAACTATATATCAGTCTGTAATTCAAAGAACCTTCTACTTAGTTAAATTCATATACGTAACTCCACTAGTATCTGTTTCTATCACTGAGATACCCTCTTTAAATTGTTTTCGGTAAAAAAAAGACAAATTCCTTCATGACCTACCTTTTGGACTTCAAACTTTCAAGCCTTGGTACTGTAACGCCTTCAAATTCATCTATTTGGTACATCTCATTATCTTTTTGCCAAGTTTCGCAAAGGAAAATAATGTCAAAGTTGAAGATTTTCGTCCCTAATACAATGTTTAAGGCCCTCAATGTACAAGGCTCTACTTTGTGTCTTTTTGTACGTGATGTTTTATCACAAAGAATAGTTTTCTAAATAATTTGGCCGTATAGTGGAATTAGCAATAAACAAGTCAAATGAACAACAAGAAGCTTTTTCATGTCTTTTGTTCAAACTATATATTTAATTGTGTGAATGAATATACATCTATAACATATATAGAACCTATGTTATCTATTAAGGATTACGTTTAAAGCGGCACGCCTACAGATTCATGCTAATTTTCATTAAAATGTGTTTATACGTATTATTCAGTGAAATAACCAAAAGGAAGCAATTTACACTGGCACTTTTCACCCAAGTGAATTACTAAAAGAGGACAAAATATGCGAAAATATATCCTTTACTGCGTTAGTAAATACTGAAAATCGGTCATTAATCGCACATAGCATGTAAATTATTACTAGAACTTTGAATCTTTACACTTTTACTAAAATCTTAGTACATTTTCCCAGGTTTGATTTTATTGAAATATTGTCGCTCATCTGGAGGCGTGCAGCTTTAATTTATATTACTGAAGCTTATTGAAATATTTGCCCTACGATATTTGCAATAAGCATAAATAACATTTTAGACCTATAACTGACTCCTTCAAGCTACTGTTTTCAATTTTATGTCAGAATTTTGTTTTTTCAAATATTTAACTTCACACTGTATATGCTCAATATTTGTTTGGCATGGTGCAAACAGAAAGTGTGTCGTATTGGTTACTCAAGAATTTTGGCTTCTCTTTGATACCGTTTTTTTCCGACTCCATGCTATTCAATCGTGATGTAGGGTCCCTTATTGATCTTTGAATGCTATTTAACTTGTTTAACCTTTGATCAACTTTGTCAAGCCTTTGCGGAATACATAAAAGAATGTCTTAATGTTGACTACTTTGTGTTTATGGAATGTTTGTCCCGGCTGCAGGGGTAAATCGATGTGCTGGTTTGGGTTGCTTTCGCCGTCTTGTTCTTTGATTGTCTCTTCCTGCCAGTGTCCATTTCGTTAGGAGTGATGTCTTTGCGTTTTCTGCCCTTGAGAAGAAACTAAATAGCACCATCTTATTTCACACTTTGTAATCCACAATAGTTGAAATTGTTTATTAAAATATATCCATTTTGACTGTTAAATTAAATTTTTATTATCCGATTTACTGAGAGGAAAAACTTACATAATTTATTCGTTACTGATTGCACCATCATTGTTTGTAAGTCATGTGAATCAAACTTTTCAGATGAACTTTGGTGTTATACAACAGACACGGAAATAAGATGGGAAAGTTGTGTTAGTCAAAGCGATATTTGCAGCGTAAGTTTCATCCATTTCATATAAATCATGACTCTTAAGCAATAACACACTGGGATTAAAGGGTCTGCTGTAGTATTTCTTGACTTTATTTCAGAACAATGAATTTTATTATAGCATCAAGTTTTTACTGAAGATAAAATCATTTATTGACAGACAAGATTTTAAGTTAGTCCTAAAGTTGGATTTATGTCCTAGGACTTGGGATAAACTTAAGACTTATCATGAAAAGCAGCCCTGTTTTCGAAACGTCTACCATATTTCTGTGGGTAGAGCAATAGAACTTTGCAAAAACATGTCCTTTCAGACATTTTGTTATTGTTATTATTGTCACTGAGTTTACCTTTTAAATGCATATACATGATCATTTCTGTATGTAAGTACTTTTACCTCTTGTTACCATAACAGCCGTTAGAATATCGCAGGGATCCGTCGTTTAAAATGAACATATTGGGGCTGAAAGTGAGGTTTATTGCGAAAAGTCGTTTTTCTAGTATTTCTTTAAAGGTTATGCTGAAAGAAAAAGGCTTAAACTACCTATCATGTACTGTATTCCAAAATTATATTAATATTTATATATAAAGCCCCCTTCATTACTAATTCAACATCTTATCTACTGGTAATCTTTCTATTTTATTGACTTCTTGTTTTACTGTCATCAAGACACATGTCATAAGATAATGTCAAACATTTTATGAACATACGGGCAAAAATCTTTTTTTGGTCTGATAAAAAATCATCTGAAATTTTAGATAAGTTTAAAGTTAAGAATCATCAAGCTTCATATGTAAGTACTTACGATTTCTCTATACCCTACATGCAACATTGCCATATAATCTTTTCAATGATAAACTATTATCTTTAATTAAAAAAAACATTTGCAAGAGAAAAGGTCACGTTTCACGTATCTTTACCAATGGTATCATTAAACACTATACAATCTTGACCTGTGATGAAGTTTGTAGAGCACTTTTGTTTTTATTAGATGACTTTTATGTCAGGTTTATGTACAGATTCAATCAAACCAAGTCTGCAATTCTTATGTAATTTTGTTGTGATTAATGCTTCCGAGGGATCACTTTGTTTCCAGAATTTGGTAATACAGTTTTCAAACAGATAATATGCATTCCAATGGGAACTAATTTTGCACCCCTGATAGCTGATTTATCTCTTTACTGCTATGAGAGAGATTTTATGCTAAGTCTTTCCCCTACTTCACATCAGGAAATTATACATGCATTTAACAACACTTCCCGCTCCCTAAATGATATCCTAAACATGAATAATCCTTATTTAGATCAGCTGGTTTCTAGAATATATCCAAGTGAACTTAGAATAGAATAAAACTAACTCTTCAGACGTTATTACATCTTTTTAGATTTAAACATTTCTATCACTAACAATACTATAGTAACTAAAATATACGATAAAAGATATTATTTTGATTTTAATATTGTTAACTATCCATATCTAGATGGATATGTACCTCATGCTACATCATATGGGGTGTATATTTCACAATTAATTATATTTGCTAGGGCGTGCAGTCGTGTTGATGAATTAAATGAACGCAATTTATTTTAGAAATAACATAGGCCTGAGAGGTGTTTATCGGCTAATCGGCTGCGGCCTTCGTGGCCAATTCTTACGCATCAAAACTCCAAACCGGTGTTAAATAGCCGAGATACACCCGTCAGGCCGATTTTATTTTTCTAACACGATACAATAAGGAAGATCATTAATGTTATTTTTTCAAGCGGAAACAACTTTCGGTGCCGAATTTCGTATAATGCTGTTCGATTTTCGCACCATACAGTTGCGAAGATATAGAATTATTAAACAAAAGAAATAATAAGAAAAACGTTATTTTATCAAGTTTTCAACAATAAAAACTGACGTTGTATTTTACATCAGTGCTCCATTTATCATTCTTGTATGCATGAAATAACGTCAGCTTGCTTATGAATGAGTTGTTTACTTAGGATGACGTCATTACGCTGCTTACGAATTGGTGCTGTTTTGTCAAAAAAATTATTAACTGATATGAATCAGATATGTGGCGTTAGTGCATTTGTGATATTATTTCGGTATTGTATGAAAAGAAAACATTAAACAAACTGAAAATATAAATGAAAATGCTTTTTACTGTTGCTTTAAAATGCTTTGTAAACTATACAATCGAGGGTGAAAAAATAACAGCGCATATACAAGTAGTTCCTAACCAGTGTTTATTGGCAGTTTAACAGCAGTTTTTTTCCTTCTTTGTCTATAGTGACAAAATCACGAGAGTGTTAGATTTATTACTAATAAACTTAATAAACAAGGTTATCGCTATCATAAAGTGCGTAAATATATAAGTTTTACCATCGTAATTCGGACTTAGTTTTTTTTAATCTAGCTGTTATTTAAAAACTCTTTTTCGACTAGGTGTTACCAAACCTGATTTCTATGGAGATGTGGTTTACAAACTTCGTAGGATCATGGTTCATAGTCATTTTTTGTCGTCTTCAGTAAAATTATTAAACGGTTTATTAAAAGAGGTTAGGACATAATTATTTTAAGGTATACCGCATGCTTGGTGGTCAACCCTTTTACAGTTGGACGCTACGATTTCCTCTATTAATTACTTCTGACAGACTAAGTGAGAGACTCTATGATAGTCAGTTCTTAAAGCCCTTTGCTACTGAATTGTCTTAATGTTCTTCGAGCTTCGTCAGGCCCTTGTAGATGATCTTCTTGTTGCTCTGCCTTCCTTTAAGACATCGAGTACTTTAGAAATGGTCATTAGGCGATACTTTATTCTACATATTTACACAATCTTTTATGTGTATTATTTATTTCGTCTGATGTAACCATAACATTTGAAAGAATTTCACTTGTGGGCTTTAATTTTATTTACAATTTTGTGTCATTCATAAACATATTTGGGGCTGAGAGTGAAGCTTGTCGCGCCTAAACCCGGTTTAAACACCCCAGTGGTTAAACCAACACTGACCGTTCCAGGGCGATACACTCTGTGTTCCTTCAAGCGTATTTCATGTCTGTATTACCACTTGTTTTTGAATGTTTACATGTTTTATGATGTCTGCCTTGTTGAAATGTCGTTTACGGTATGTATTTTCTACCCCCTCCCATTTTTACCCCCTCCATTTTCACCCTTACAACCCATATTCCTTCAATTCCCATATGGGCCTGTTTTAGTTTATATTACTTCACACATTACATGTCCCTCTCCTTTCGCCGCCCTTATGTCCACTGAAGGTTGTTGTTGAATGTCTTCTGGTTGCCCTACTTGGGTGTGTCGGGGACTACGTCCTGTGAACGTTGCCTTTAACTTAACGATCTTTATTCTTGTTTTTATGCACAATTAACTCCCCAACAGTACTTATACTCGCGATCGTTCCAAGGCGGCGCACCTCTGTATTCCTCAGATGTTTGACGCGACAACAGCTGGGAAGGCTGTATGACAGACAATACAAAAATAAACTTAAATTTGGTTATTTGATTCCTACATTTATAAAGTCGCCCCGTACATTCAATCAGAGATGTTATTTTTCTGATCCTTCAAGATCGTTCAGCACGACATTATTGCTGTGCTTTGCGCTTGTGGTAATTTAGTTTTTTCTATTCGTCTATTTTCTTGTTGGGTGGTTCCAGTATTTCTCACTTGAATACTGTTGAATCACCCTTAGGATATGTGGCCTGCTTTGTAAATATTTCTTTTGAAGTCTTATCTGTCATATAATCTAAGACGAGCATATAGACAAATTAGAATTTCCTTCTAGTTATAATATGGTGGGTTTTTCATGCAAAAGTCATATCTTTTTTGATACAGTTTTGGCGATGGGGTTAAGGTCTTCCGCATATATTTGTCAAAGGGTTACTCACGCCTCTGCTTTCATGATGTGAAATGTTGGTTTATCTTGTTTAAATTATTTGGATGATTTTGCAGGGGTAGCTACGTTTGCATTCAAATTTTACGTAAACTTTTTATTAGAAGTGGAATTGAGGAGGCTGTTTATCAAGCTTGTGCTCCTTCTCAGGTTATGATATTTTAGGTGTTTTATTTGACAATCGTTCATGACTATGCAGGTTACAGAAGAGAGGCTTAAAGAGTGTAAGGATTTAGTTTCTTCATGGTTGAACCGAGAGACTGCATCTTTAAAAGAAATACAGAAATTGCGTAGCAAATTAAATTTTGTCGGAGCATGTGTTAGATCTAGTCGTGTTTTCATTAATCGTATTTTGAATTGGTTAAAAGAGTGTTATGATACTCAGATGTTTTCAATATTCCCTTAGAAGTGAAAAATGGCTTTTATGGTGGAGTGAATTTCCGACCATTTATAATGGAATTTCCTTAATTGATTACGGATAGTGGTTACAGTGACTGTGCTTTTTGTTCTGATAGTTGTTTGACTGGTTTGTTCTAATTTGTTTCATACTCCATTTCCAAGATTTATTTTGGATCAGTTATTGGCGTTTATTGTTAAGAGTTGTTGACTGTTTTAGTTGCATTGAAACTTTGGGGTCCTGATTTACACGGGAAAAAAGTGGTGATTTTTGTGATAACTTGGCCGTTTGTATTGTTATCAATATAGGTAAAGCTAGAATTTCATTTTTACAACATTGTTTGGGAGAGATTTGTTTCATAGCCTCGGTATATGAGTTTCAGTTAAAGGCTACTCATCTTGCTGGTACTGATAATCGTATTGCTGATTGCTTGAGCAAATGACATTTAAATCCTTAGTAAAAAGCACATATTTTTTGACTGTCTTTCAACCTTTTCTTCTTTGACAGATGTAAAGGTTCCTGTAGATCATTTTAAATTTCTACATGATTGGTAACTTCTTGTTTCAAAATCAGTGCTTAAGGTTTTGAAGCAAGAGCTTAGAAATTCTAACACTTCAGAACTGAATTGGTCTGATAAGGCTAACATTTTATCAACAATGTTCGAGACAGTATAATTTTAATAGCTCTGATTTTCCTATTTACAGATGTTCAAGTTCACATTTTGTCGGATTCCATCGCCAAGTATGTAGATGGAATTTGGCATTCAAAAGGCCATGCTTTTGGTTCGCTTGACTTCTAAGATTCCACGGGATCATTCTTTAGTGAAATTATTTTTTAATATTTTACATGTTGGTACTAATGATATAAACTCTAATATTAAATTGTCTGTAGATCAAATGATCAGTAATTTCAACATTTGATCATATTTCACCTTCCAACATTGTTTTCTCCACCATTTTGCCTAGGCCTGTCGATTATTATCGAACAAGTGTCAAAATCTAATTAGTTCACCAAAGGTTAGAGGCTTAGTGTAAGGAACGTAAATGTCATTTGTTCATTCATACCGTCCCTTTTTCATGGAGGCAAGCCAATTTCTGATTCTTTTGCAGTCAGAGATGGTGGGTTACATTTAATTTTGAAGGAATCCGTTTCGTGCCCGTAATTTCTTCTTTCACACTGTTTCACATTTACTTAATGGTAAATGGGTATGTAAACAAGGTTATATTTTTTTGACAAAAACTGGTGCAGATTTATTTTTTATGCAGAAATATTTTATATGTATGGATAGGCATTTTTCTGTGTTTGTTGAATTGATCAATAGCTACCTTTGCCTTTAGGGGTAATTTTTTGTAATATTGTGTATATAGAGTTTGTTGATATGATATGTAGTTTGTGACTTCTTTTATGTGATTCTTTTGAATATTGTTATATTAGTCAGTTGGGTAAATTGATGTGCAGGTTAGGGCTTGAAGGAGTTATATTATTCCTTTAGTCTTTTATATATTCTGATGGTGGAAGTATCAGAATTTCACCTAGGGTTTCCCCTTTAAAGGAGGTATTGATTTATCATTTAATGATTAACGTGTCGTTGCCCTGTCCTTTTTATGTTTGGGGTCCGCCTGGGCTCCTTGCCATTGGTTCTTGTTGCTGGGTCATATGGGGGTTGCGTTCATTGAACGCCGCCTTTCCTTGTTGATCTTGTTTTTCATATTTTGTACTTCTTGAAGGGCTTCTAGGCAAGTGGTAATGGTTACTGATTGTTACCCTTCTTTTTGTTTGAGTTTTTGTTTGTCTGATATTGATATCACAATGTATATTTCAATGTACTTATTATATAGGAGTCACCCGGTGGTCAGTCGGTCGGTCGGTTGGTTGGTCGGGCGGTCGGTCCAGACGTCCGTTGCATTTCCTTGTCCGGAGCATAACTTGAAGACAAATGGTTGGAATTCAATATAACTACATACAATGGTCAAGCACATTGAGAGGAAGTGCAGTGCACAAAAACCATAACTCTATCTTGACTAATAACAGAGTTATTGCCCTTTGTTACTTTTCCTTGTCCGGGGCATAACTTAAAAACAACTGGTTGGAATTCAAAACAACTTCATACAAATGTCAAACATAATAAGGAGAAGTGCAGTGCACAAGAACCATAACTCTATCTAAAATAATTACAGAGTTATTGCCCTTTGTTACTTTTCCATTGATTTTTTTGTCCGGACCATAACTTGAAGACCAATGTTGGAATTCAATATAACTACATACAATGGTCAAGCACATTGAGAGAAAGTGCAGTGCATAAGAACCATAACTCTATCTTGACTAATTACAGAGGTATTGCCCTTGTTACTTTTCCTTGTCCGGGGCATAACTTGAAAACTACTGGTTGGAATTCAAAACAACTTCATACAATTGTCAAACACAATAAGGGAAAGTGAAGTGCACAAGAACCATAACTCTATCTAAAGTAATTACAGAGTTATTGCCCTTTATTACTTTTCCATTGCCTTTTTGGTCCGGACCATAACTTGAACACTAATGGTTGGAATTCAATATGACCTCATACAATGGTCAAGCACATTGAGAGGAAGTGCAGTGAACAAGAACCATAACTCCATCTTGACTAATTTCAGAGTTATTGCCCTTTGTTACTTTTCCTTGTCCAGGGTTTAACTTGAAAACTACTGTTTGGAATTCAATACAACTTCATATAGTTTTCAAGGACATTAAAAGGAAGTACAGTGCACAAGAGCCATAACTCCATTTTGACAAAATACAGAGTTACTGCCCTTTGATACTTTTCCTTGTCAGGGGCATAACTTCAAACGTACTGGTTGGAATTCAAAACAACTTCATACAATGGTCAAGCACAATAAGAGGAAGTGCAGTGCACAATAACTATTACTCTATCTTCAGTATTTATAGAGTTATTACCCATTGTTCCTTTTCTTTGTCTTTCTGGACTTATTGCAGAGTAATTCAATTAAACTTCGTCAATGGCCAACCACATTGAAAGGAAATGCAACATTGAAAGGAAATGCAACATAAAAGAACAACAACTATCTTTAATTGCCCACAACCATAACTCTATATTTCAATTTTTTTACAAGGTATTCTGTTACTAGCAACATCCTCATTTCCGAAGCAGTCTTGTGAGGGTATTAATCACATTTAGTGATAGTTCTAGTTGTACAGTGCTTTAGTTGCCTTTTTTCTGTTTGTCTTTTTCTATAAATTGAAACTACACAGCCTTCAAAAGTTCCATATAACGGTGAAGGGATTCTGAAGGCTTGTTGGTTTAATGTTTGTAGGTATATTTGTTTATATTTATGTATAGATGTTCTTATGTTTGTATATGTTTCGCTTTTAGTTATCGTTTTGCTTACAGTTTACTATTTTTTGGCTTGTAGTTGGCGGATTTGTTGTATTTCATACTAGTTGTTTAAGCAGTTGTAGGTCACTGTAACAATATTCTTTAATAGGATTTGATACATCGGGTGGCTTTCTGTTAAATACAGATAATGGAATTATCTTATCTAGTTGAGTTTAATAAGATATTCATTGAGTGAATTAATTATTATCATGCTTTTGTGTTTTGTGTTTCCAGGAACGGATTCGAGAGTGTTTCAATTAGCTTATAGCTTCCATCACAATCGAATTAAAATAAATTTGTATAAACTAAAATAGTTCGGCACTTCCATATATGGTAGCATATTTGTCAATAACATAATACGGAAATTTTTATCCTTCGTATTTGCGCTTCAATATTTGCGTTCATTTAATTTTACCCATGATATATGGTGCTGTAACCGTCAAAGATATTTCTTTTTTTTTTAAATAAATATGAAATATAAATATGAAAGTGGGTGGAGTCAAAACTCATATTTATTTTAAGGCACTTCTTCCGCCTTTTTGTTTGAAAAATCCGATAAATACAAAACAGCTTTTTGTTGAATTTTGTTTTGAAAAACCATCTAGAATGATAGAAAATTTTCTAACAAAGAAAATAAATGCGAACACCAATATCTTTAATTACAGGAACATGAAATTCTATAAATATTAATGATAATATCCAAAATAAACCCCCTATACAGTATAAATAAACACTTATTTATACTCAATAGGGGGTTTATTTTGATATTTTCGTTAATCTTGATAGAATTTCAAGTTGCTGTGCTTTAAATCAGTCATTAAAGCTGTACAGACGTTTAAAGAATTGTTTACGTGACGTCACAATGTAACGCTAAATATAGCAGGCAAGACAAGACAACAATTACATTACTGCGCGCTGTACAATTTCAGTTGCGTAGCAAACAAGGGGGTTCGTTACCATTTTTCTTCAATAATGAAATTAGATTTAAAGGTTATTTTTTCGTTTTCTGTGAAATTTGTTATATATTCTCACTCAACATGATAAAATGCCACATATTTTCACGAGCCAGGATGGCATTTTACCATATTTCACTCAAACGAAAAAATATCCTCTAAGTATTTTAGGGAGAAAATTTATGGGTATATAATAATTACGTTCTCGCGAGAAATCATTATTTCACCGCTGCTCGTAGATAAAAATAAGGCCTCAGAGAGCTACTACAACATAATGTTCCGTATTTATACATACATGTACATATGCACTTGTTTTATTTTTTCTTGCATAGCAGACTGGCGTTTCCGCGAGTTTTACCCATGCAGGAAATTTCATCTGGTATGGGAGGTGCCAAATAAGTTGCGCGCCATACAACAACGTCATTGTATTGCACTTTATGAATAAAACGCGTTAAAATGGAACGGAAATGGCGTGAAACTAAACTTACAATAGACCATCAGATCTACAGAACACACTGTTCTAGTGTGAACAAGATGTTAAAACAAGCTCGTGTAGAATACTATACAAGTAAAATAGAGTCTTGTGGCAATGATCATAAAAGTCTATCTAAAGTTACCAAAGGTCTACTTGGAGATACAAATGAAGTGATAAAACCATTTGATTCATCTTCAGAGCGCCTTGCCCAGAAATTCAATGACTTCTTTATCGGAAAGATTGAAACAATAAGGAATAACATACGTTCTCAAACACAATCGGTACCGGATAATGTAGATATGGAATCTGAATATACGGGTGTCAAATATACAGTGTTTGCTCGAACCACAGAGCAAGAAGTGAAAGCATTGATTAAAACATAAGCCACCAAATCCTGTGAGTTAGATCCCATTCCAACATGGCTATTAAAAGAATGCCTAGATGAACTAACACCAGTGATAACCAGTTTTATAAACGTGTCCTTGGATGCTGCTTATGTACCAAAAATGTTCAAACACTCACGAATAAGACCACTTCTAAAGAAACCAAATTTAGATCCTAACGAACTGAAAAACTATAGGCCTGTGTTTAACTTGCCATTCCTGTCTAAAATCTTGGAAAAGGTCGTTGACGTACGACTT